CTTGGCAGGGGCGCTGGGATCGTTGTGTTCACTCCCAGGGGAACTACTTCGAGGGTGATGGATGAATTTAATACCTGAGATAAGTGTACGGGTTTTTATACGCGCAGTCTTGAAACTTTCCGATCGCACCTCGTATGTCTTGTTACAGTATTTCTTAATCTATAGGATATATAGCAAAAAAATATATATATATTCACTTTGGGCATTATGTCTATGACATTTTTGTACTTATCACTATTACACTGCACTGCCTACATTTCAAAATGTTGGTTATTTCGTGTTCCTGTATTATGCACATGGACGTTGTCCACCTAGTTTTTAATATTTTCTTTTTTTCTTCCTGTATGATCTCGTAGAGTTATTCTAGCAAGCTTGCAATTTCTTGTCGTAAAGTATTCGGTTAGTTGATCTGTAAAATTGTATTTATGAGTGTTTCAATCTGTATTAGCCTCTGTTGTATTTGGTACTGTCTCAGTATTTACAGTGAGAAGTTATTGCTGTGTTCCTCTTGTATTTACAATTACTAACTGTGTGTTGTGAAACATAGTATAGTGATTACTCTCTTTGATGAGCGGCAGTGGGAAGAGGGGGAAGTAGGGGTGGTTCAAAGGGTAGGTCTGTATAATATAATGGTAATAAATTAAATTAGATCTTATCATACTTATTAGTTATGCCAGGTGGTTGAATACAGAAAAATACTATACCTGTAAAAAGTCAAATTCACAGTTGGGAGAATGCTCGATATCAAATTTTGTGAAGTTCAATTGCAGTATTTTTGTAGTGTTGGTAATAATGCGCCACGCGCAGTTTACATTGTGACCATACTCAATGCTGCCAGAATGTGGATACTGAAGTGTCCCAGACAAACCAAAGAGTTCACCACCGCAAGCTGCAGAAACAACAAAAAAATATAAAATATAAAAAATCCCAGAAGACGGAAATCTTCAATAATAATACAGGCTGACTGAGCTCAATAAAGCCAGGTTAAGTAAAGCTGATGGGAACTATAGCAGATATCAATACAAATATATACAAAGGATGTACACTCATTTTCAAAACAAATAATATGCATTACATAATACAGATAAAGGTAATATTTGATGTGTGCAGATGAAGTGGCATGCACTATATGGTTAACTATTGCAAAATTTTAAACCAACAACTGCTAACATCTGGGTAATACTGAGAGCAGCAGGTTTCTGGAATTTTAATGATTTTCAACCATACACTTCATCCTTCAAGAATCCCCACAAGGAAAGTGCAAGAGAGTCAAACTTGGTGGACAAGATGGTTGTCAGTGGTCCCACTTTGCCATACCCATACCCTGTGAAAGCAGAATCCACAAAGGCTATGACACTGGAACGGAAATGTGAAAGTGACCTGTGTTACTGGTAGGAAATTTCCTCATATCTATGCATTAGACAAATTATGGGCACCGAATCTTGAGGTACTTATCACCAGTTTCTATTCCCTCAAAAAAAAAATAGTTCCACATAACCTCTGGATCAGACATCAGAACAGAATGTAACCCTGACAAATTCGATGCCAGTCCAAATGACCAGTACACACATTTATGACAAATTGTAGTATTTTTGGCAGTGACACGTTCCATCACCTGGATGAGTGATAGTTAAATGTACCACTGGCTAGAAGGCTGCCATATTAGAGAAATAATTGTGTCTATAAACTCTGCGTATTTGTTCACACTCCTTAAAAACCGTCTGATGCTATCAGGATCATCTTCAGTTACGACATGTAAAACATTTGGCACGTAAGATTCCAACTTAGTGGTTTTGAGAATCCAGTTTATACTTGCCTTACTGATGCCAGTCTGACGAAACATACTTTTAGTTTAGGTATCATAAATTGTTGAAATATCACAGCAGAATTGCTGCTCACTAATAAATTACGTCCCACAGACTATGCCCAATCATGTCTGGCATAGTGATATCAGCCGCAAATTTATCATGAACTGCTGAAACTGTTAGTCATGTTCGAAGCTAAGATACAAATTCACATCTCTATTCTTTGCACTTCGCAGAAAATTTCAAGTTTTCAATACAACTTCAAAATTAATTTGCACTGCTTTAATAGCAAGCAAAATTTCCACCATTTTGTATTATGCACACACACAAAGATAAGTTATGGCAACGTCTCATTAGAAGTATCCCATCTGCTGTGTGAACTCAGCACTACTACAGACTGTATTAATCATGGTCCCGTCGTGAATAACAGAGAATATATTATGCACTAAAGTTTGTGCACATACTTTGAGAGACTCTGCATACATGTTTGTTTCAACTTGTAAACTTTGCATTTTAACACACTGCCAGGATCACATCTGACATTATGCAGACTGCCTAAAAAAACTTTATGTTCAGAAACTTTTATACTTTGATTTATGTTTGTTTGTGTTTCTTAGCATTTTATTCAATACTGGATTTCGTACCTTGCCTGTAACATACAAACTTGACTTCCCCAAGAATCAGTTATTGGAAAGTTAAAATGTGTAGAATATTTCCTGCTAGGACAGAGAATATATTTTAGTGTAGCATACACAGTTCCTGTCGCCCTCGATGGACTAGTGGCTGGCGTGCTCGCCACTGGACCCAAGGTTCGCGGGTTCAAACCTGGCCGAGGTTGATGGATTTTTAAGGGTGATAAAAATCTGTAGCAGAACTCCCTTTGGAGGGGAAGTAAAGCCAGTGGTCCATTGTCGTAGATTTACGGAACGTAAAAGAACCTTACAAGCACGAACAAGATGTTTTGTAAGCAAAATTCAGTGGCAATTTCTCACCCAAGTCTCTCCTAATTCTCTACTAGATGGCTCTAGCAGACAAATCAGGATTGAGTAGAAATTGTGCTGAGGCAGTGGGCTGGTCACAAATGCACACTTTAAAGACAAAAACACCTCCACATGGGAGGAGGCCAAGGCCCGAACTTGGATTTTAGTGCCATTGAATGGATGGATACAGTTCCTAGAAGTGGAAACCATTGCAAAAGAATGGAAATGGAACCACATTTTAATAAGCAACACAGTGCAGTTTGCGCAAGACACTCACCTTGCTCCACCTCCTCACAACTGAGGCCTCTGAAGCCTTCTGTACAGATGCAGCGGTACCCAGTGGTGCCAACCTGCACACAAGTGCCAGCATTCTGACATGGCCGACTTGAACAAGGATCAACAGATACACTACATGAGATTCCTGTAACATGCACGTGAAAAGAAAACCTTATTAACGCAAACTTTTAGATGTATTCATTTATTTAGCAGTCTACTCTGACCTATGGAAAATGGCAAAAATCTTCCAACAAACAGGGTCATGCAAAAACCTATGTTTTATTTTCAGAATTGACAAGAGGTTAGAAAGAACATTTCCCTAGAAGAGACTTTTTTTTAAAAAAATATTATGATTTATGAAAAATGATCTGTTGCTGAAAGGAATAAGTATTACACTTTAGAGCAGTTTGAAAACATGTCTAGTGTTATAAATTGACACCACAGTAAAAAGATGTATCTAGCAGACAAAATTCTCGTTCCATTCTCAATTCTCAATAATTAACCAAATTCTCATTTTGATCTCACCTTATACTCAAATGTTGTTCTCATACGTGCCTAATTACATCTCCAAAAACTGCGAAAGCCACCTAACCTTTGAACCCTCTACAGTTCTTCCGGTTCTTATAGAACATTATTATTATACATTTTTATACAAGCCCAGGCTATTACTGCATACAACTTCAATCTTAACATTCTCCATACTTACCTGAATGTATTACATACCATCTATATTTCGTTATCTAAATGAATTACATATGACATGCTACAAAAAAATTCCACAAGGATCAAAGTTTCTAAACCTTCTATAGCGACACGCAGCTAATGCATAGGTATCCCAAAAAAGTGTATACACACATTCAATGAATGAAATTAAGACATTTTAATAATTTAATTTTCATGGCATCGTTGACAGCAGTGATCAACTGACTGACAAGCAGTCACCAAAGCTGCTGCTTGGACGCCTGCACAAGACCGTTCAAATTCTAGCCTGAAGTTTTGTTGACATAATTGGCAAAAAAACATATTGTGACACCCCAAACCAACGAGAACACTATCCCTACACTTTCCAAGCGACAGCAGTGTTGCTGACCAAAAAGATCCAAACTGTGACAGACTACGGACTTTGGAATCATGTGATACTAAAATGAAACACATATTTCCAGCTAGTTCTCATACAAAACCGAATTGAAATTCATGGAAGTTTACCTCATTTCCATTGTCCCATTGCACACCACTGTCATAGACAGAAAACTTATTTCACTCAAAATAAATTTCAGCAAAAATTTTGTCAATTTATTCCTCTAGAGTGAACTGTCATGCCAGTTTCACACAGAACAGATTGCAAGTAAAAAGCAGTGGAGTTTTATAGCGCTGTGTTTTGGTGTTTTGAAGAATACAACCAAAATACTAAATGTGGCATACTGATGATAGCTGATAGCTTTCCAAGACACACAAAAAAAAAATATCAAACACCAATATAAAAAAAATTCATGTATTTTGCAATATATTCCATCGATTGAAATGCATCAGTAGCAAAATGCTTGAAGCCCAGCATATGGGTCACTCGTAGGGTGAGGTACTATAATTTAAAGCCCAGCATATGGGTTGTTCGTCCCTCGCCGTAGTCTCGCGGTCTGAGGCATCATGCTTCGGACCAGTGATTAGGAATGCGTGCTGGTTTGAGTCTCGGGGAAAGAAATTTTCTCATGAGATTTTCGACGGGTGTATGGGACCGGTGCCAACCCAGCATCATGAGGAAATTGGGGAGCTAAAATGAGTAGCGTAATCCGGTCAGGAAAGCTAGCAATGGCTGGGGGTTCGTCGTGCTGACCACACATCACCCTATATCTGGTTGGATGATCGTTCAATTCTGCTTAGGCATGTGAACGTGAGGCCAGCAGTCAAGTTAGTCGGCTTTGGCTCTCAGAGGGCTGTTACGATACAGATGATTATTATGGGTTGTTCATAAGATAAGTTATCATACCATTTCAACATTAACAAGAAAAGTCTGAGGCAAACTGCAGAAAGCAGAATATGGGTTGCTGGTCCCCAGGCCAAGATTTATCTCTCAGATCTACGAATACAAAGCAGAAGTGCCAACCACCAGATCACAAAGTTCAGAACAGAAAATAAAGGAAAGTGTTGAGACATACTCACACTGGGAACCTGAGATAGACGTACCTGTGTATCCAGGGTGACAAACACACACAGGTGTGCCAGTAGACCCTACTATACAGTTGCCGTTCACACAGAGGAAATGATTACATGGGTTCACACTCCCACCACCTGTACCACCACTGCCACCAGACGCGGGGAGACAGCCTGCAGGGCCAACACCAGTTCCAATATATCCAGTGGGGCAGATGCATTCAACATATGACTGACTGATACCTGAAATGAATAAAGTTATCCAAATATAGTTGTTGAAGACTTCCTGTCTCTGCGTTACTATTGTATTTACCTGTTAACATGGTCGACAAGTGAAAGTGAATGTTTATTTTCAGTAATAATTTACACACGAGTTTTGACGTACACAACCAAATAGTGTAGTGGTTGCGTAGTTCCTGTGGACTGAAGGGGTGTGCTGCAGGACTCACTTATGAGTAACAAACAAAGTGGCATTGTGTTGAAAAATTTGCATTGAACCTTAGATATTATTCAAAAGCAACTATGACAGTTCACAAGCATGACAAGTTAAGCATGTTCTGTATAATAGGAGAGAATTAAAATATTTTAAGACTGTTCAAAATACAAGAAACCACCGCTACAGTCAGTCTCGTTATTCTGTCTTGTATTGGTGTTAACATAGCAAGCCTGTGCGTATGCCATCCACAGAATCTACCTAGTCATGGCTTAATAGGGATAAAGGAATTTTTCATGATCCTTTGTAGTAACAAAGATGGTGTCCTGTAGGTATGAGGGTCTTACAGCCTTAATTTACGAGGTGCGATCAGAAAGTTTCAAGACTGTGTCAATAGAGGGCGAACCAGATGTAGTATGAGCTTCTGCCGCTAAGGGGTTGGGCCTACATTCATAGTGAATCAGTGTGCCAGCCGGCATTATCGAATTAGCATTTGTTTCTTAGTTACGGGCGTTTTGGTAGTGCATTACACCGACCCTCCTGCGATTTCGGAATGGCGTGTGCATCAAATTTTGCCAAAGACTCGCCAAAACGGCTACAGAAACCTATGAAATGCTAAAGCAAGCATTTGGGGAGTCCGCAATGGGTCGTGCACAAACGTTTGTGTGGCATTCACGTTTTAAAAAGGGCCGGCCGAACCTCTGTCGATGATGACGAGCGTGCTGGACGACCATCTTCGAGCACAACGCCCGAAAATGTTACGAAGATCGAAGTCGTACCATCAACGACTTGTGCGACATTGTTGGGACCTGTCAGCTGATTCTAAAGGAAGAACTCCACATGCGACGCATCATGACAACGCGCCAGCACACACCGCCCTCAAAGTTCGGCAGTTTTTGGCCTCAAACACCATGGCCGCCATCCCGCACCCTCCTTATTCGCCGGATTTAGCTCCGTGTGACTTCTTCCTCTTCCCCAAGATGAAAATTCAGCTAAAGGGAAGGAGATTTGAGACGATAGAAGAGATTGAGGCAGAATCGCAGATGGTGCTTGACAGGCTGACAAAGAAAGATTTCCAGGGATGCTTCCAGGCTTGGCAGCGGCGCTGGGATCGTTGTGTTCACTCCCAGGGGAACTACTTCGAGGGTGATGGATGAATTTAATACCTGAGATAAGTGTACGGGTTTTTATAGGCGCAGTCTTGAAACTTTCTGATCGCACCTCGTATATAATGAAATATGATGCAGTTAATCCTTTTTGGAGTGTTGTTAGTACAAACGTTTTACTGTAGTACTAGTGGAAACAAATCTTTTAAAGGCTTTGTGTCTATCCCCCACCCCATGCAGAATTGTGAATGGATTAAAAATTACAAAACTAAGAACATGCCACAAAATGTACAACTGATATAATGTTTTGTAAAACTCTTCTGTTTGGAAAGTAGACTTGATCTTACTTACGAGGGTTGTCCAAACAGCGAGCCAGTGGGTGACAGCCTCCATTGTTAACAGCACAGACACCAAGGAAGTTGCAGACTTGCCCATCTCCCTGGTAGCCTGGAGGACATTGGCCACATACTCGAGATCCCTGTTATAATAAAGCAACAAACCTGTTACAGTAATACGTATTAATTTTCTCATCGCAGGCAGGTTATATTTAACCCTTACCAATAGAATTTGTTTTGTCTGTAAGTGGAATATTTTTTTGTAAAATTAATATTATTATAAAACGTGCATAAAAGAGTGACAGATGAGTTATGAGATGCAAAGTCCATTGCCAGTAAAACAATAACCACTTCGTTAATACAACGTGTAAAAATTGTAACAAATTTGCAATCCAATAATGATATGTCTCATTGCATCCATAACTAATGTACTGAATGGAACAGAGTCCTTCTTGCATATAGTTACCTCAGCTGATCAAAAAAAGTCTCTTTTTTATACGTCCAAAGGTACATTACTGCGTTCACAAAAGCCACCAATCGTCCCTATTCCAAAGCCATGTGCAACATTTTTGTTAGCCCTTTGCCCAATCCCTAAGGTAGAGAACCACCCCTTGTCAGATGTCTGCAGGAGCCATTTCAATATATCTGAAGGGTTTTTGTCACATTAACAATCTTAGTACACGCCATGCTGTGATGACAAGAGATGCATGTCCATGTTCCTATGTTTGTCATGACCCCTAGCAATGCCTTGATATCAGCTAAAGTTGGAGGATCTCGTTTGTGATTCTAGCTCTTTTCATAGGGGGCATATTCTGCATTTTTCTTTTTGTTTCCATTCAGTGTGGTTTCGTACAGGATGAGGTCCAACAAATCCAGATCAAGGAAGAGTTCAAAATATTCAACAGGCTGAGTTTTCCAACCAGAACTTAATGGTACAACCACTTTATGTTAAATAGACATTATTTCTTCTTCATCATCATGATGCGCTCTTATTCTCGCCATTATTCGTAAATACGCAAATAAATACAAATACAAACAGCAGCCATACATCAAGTAACCTGAATGTGCACACAGTGAACGACAGCTCCCCGCAATCTCATAACACAAAAATCCTGCGATCTGTCACATTCTGTGGTACTACAAATATATCCTCTGAACATCAGCATTATCTGCCATGGCTTACAATGTCTTATAGCAGAGAAATTGGTTTATTACAACAACAATCTGTAGCTGTAACCATTTTCCACATGTCGGGGGGACAGTCAGCTACAAACATATCCATTTTCTGCTCAGGAAGAGTTATATCCAATGACTAGGCCCTGTAGGTTTTAACATTCAAAGTACTGCTTTAATGAGACATACAATTGATGGCCTCATAATCAATTACATCCAGTGGTAGAACTTAATATACTTCAATTGACCACGTTAGTCCAGATGAACAACCCGTCACTAACAAATCCTATCTTACTGCTGATGATTCGCTTATGCATTACCTGTAAAGGCAAGTGAACATGACGCAGTCACTGTCAGTTTCCAGGCATGAACGAAAGATCAGTTACTTTACCTGAGTGTTGATGCACTGGACCAGTGGAGAAACACTGCAGCCTCCATTATTCACTTGACACTCATCAACGTCGGAGCAGAAAAATCCATTGCCAGTGTATCCTGCAACACAAAAGCATCTTCTGTTCACAGCTCCAGTGATGGGTTACATCAAGAAATACCACATTCTCTCAACTATAAAATATGACACACTTCTCTAGCACGAAATTTTATGAGGTGCAATCGAAAGGTTTCCAGACTGCGCGTATAAAAACCCGTACACTTATCTCAGGTATTAAATTCATCCATCACCCTCGAAGTAGTTCCCCTGGGAGTGAACACAACGATCCCAGCGCCGCTGCCAAGCCTGGAAGCATCCCTGGAAATCTTTCTTTGTCAGCCTGCCAAGCACCATCTGCGATTCTGCCTGAATCTCTTCTATCGTCTCAAATCTCCTCCCCTTTAGCTGAATTTTCATCTTTGAGAAGAGGAAACCTTAGAAAGGAAGTTGGGGTCGGTTCTTGCAAGATCTTTGAGCTCCTGACAAACGAGAAGTCGATTCTGCTTCTGGTCCTCAGACAGGAGCCTTGGCACAAACTTGGCCGAGATGCGTCGCATGTGGAGTTCTTCCTTTAGAATCAGCTGACAGGCCCCATAGCCTATCCCAACAATGTCGCACAAGTCGTTGATGGTACGACGTCGATCTTCGTGAAGGGCCTGCCGAATGAAAATCCGCCATTCCGAAATCGCAGGAGGGTCGGTGTAATGCACTACCAAAACGCCCGTAACTAAGAAACAAATGCTAATTCGATGATGCCGGCTGGCACACTGATTCACTATGAATGTAGGCCGCACCCCCTAAAGGCAGAAGCTCGTACTACATCCGGTTCGCCCTCTATTGACACAGTCTTGAAACTTTTCGATCGCACCTCGTAAGTAGATTAAAAATTGAAGACGACTGTTTTCTGAATGTTGCACCAGTAGAAATTCCCCAATTTTTCAGAGGAGCTCGCTGCCTCCATCATCAGAGTATTACAACATCCCAGGAAACAATCATCATCTTACTCACCACCTTCATAAACTGAAATATCATTTTAAAAACTGTGATTCTTCAGCTTAGAATTATTAATTTTACTTTATAACATGCCTTTTTGACCCACAGAATGCTTTTCCTGGTGGATTGTCCAGCTACAAATTCTTCTTGTTATCCATCTGCCATATATTGGACTATACGAGCTCTATTCCCTTGATGCCATACAATCATTAATATTTTAAGTATAACTAACTATCTGGTAACAGAACCCGCAGGTTCAACACCGACAACACCAAAGCCCGCCACCAGACATGGCAATGAGCTTCCTCCATCCATTCACCAACCTATAATGGATGTTTATTTTATTAATTTAGTGCTCTGTCTGACGACAGGTCCATATGAACAGGATCCTTCCATCCTTTTCTCGGACTGGGACCTGTTCATATACGTTCTTGGCAAGTTGATAAGCTCTAATTCTATCCCTCATTATGAGAACAAAGCAGGAAAATAAACCTGAGTGAACACACATATTGAACGTTAGACGGCCGGGGCCATGTAAATACAGCATTTTAGTTAAGATTATTGTGTAATCACAATTCAAAATCACATAAGAATGTGTGTCACAATACCGTAAGGGCAGGCTCCACAGTAGAATGACCCTGGTACATTAATGCACTGGACAAGTGGGTTGACAGAACAGGCAGGGTGTGTGCTGCTGGTACACTCATCCACATCCCATACACAGGCACCAGTTCCGCCATGGGTAGTCCAGCCCTGAAGCACAGTTTGTCATGAAATACGATTTCAGCGCTTTTATATTCCACTGGCACCAACATTCAGTTATTCATGTATCACTGTTGTTTGCAAAATAATCTGTTCAAGGTACGAATAACCTAAAATCCTGCCTGTAGAAAGGATACGGCTAATTCAATTTCTCTAACATATTACATGACTACGGACGTTAGCATTCAAGTTCCAACTACCCAACTTCATAAAGCTAAGTTCCTCAGTTGTTCTGAAAAGCCCGACACTGGACACTGTCTTCAGAAAGTTGAACGTAGTCCACATATAATGAGTCTAGTTCATTAACATTTATCAAATAGAAATACAATATTTAGACATCCAAAGTATCAGAATGCTGGCTATAATTTAACTCAGATATTTAACTAGTAATCGTGTTACAGAATTACTGAGAAAAAATCTGTATGTGCAAAACTATTAGTGCTAAAATATTGAAAGAAAATATGTTCCACAATTCTATAGCGCTATATTTATTAGAGTAACAATGTTTTTTGTTGTTTTTTTTTCCTTGGAGTAGGGAAATAAAATTTATAAGAGCACAGCAATTTTTATGTAACGCCATTTGTTTATAAAATATAAAATTATAATCCAACAGAAAGGTGATGAAGTTTTGATAAAAATATTAATTTAAAAATGTTATAATGCCCTCTCAGGTGATAAGACACATCAACGTTGAGTCAAAAACCAATGTCTTGGAGACTATCTCTGTCTCAAACATCGGAGCCAGTACCATTGACCCCGATCATCAAGAGAGAGCTACTCTATGAAACATTGATTTTTTTACTCTACATTCACATGGATGATCACACAAGAGAATTTTGTAACATTCATACCCTGAGATAGTTTTAAATCTTGCATCAATTTATAAAGCTTAAGAAAATACAGTGGTTTCCAAACTTTACAAAAAGGTGCCACCTCAGCGCAGCAAAGACTTCAATGAACACCCCTCTGCTTTCTTAACTTTGTAAGTGTGCATGTGTATACAGATGACCTTGGTCAGCTTTTCATTCTTAAAATCAGTATATTTTAGATTTTCATCAGTTAGTTACATTTACAAAAGATTTTAATTCCCTACCCACTGATTTCAGTGCCCCAGCCCTATAGAGGCTCCTAATGTTCCAGGTACCAAATCTCATGTCCTTTTTCAATTGCCGTGGTCGTGCCAAAGAGTCCGTCCTGATCCGAGGCTTGGTTGATTTTTTTCGTAACACATATTTTTTTTTTTAAAGGTGAAAGGTTGTTAGCCCTACACCCAACCCCCAACCTGGAGGACCAGGGTATCACTCTTAGTCTAGCGCATCTCCTTAGACCTGTCCGGCTTGGGTGACCCTACCATGAGCCGAAGCTCAGGCCGGCATAGCCCTAAGGGTCATTTGAGCACGCAAGCCTCCTCACCCGGCAGATTGCCTTCGACAAGGTGGTGATACCTTCGAGAAGGAAAATAATTCACTAGTGTAATTAATCACACTCTCATTTCCAGTCTTTTTAAAAGAATATTTAATGCATGAATGGGCTGCTTTTTACACAGTAATAGCCACAATAAAAAATTTTATCCGCTGTAAATCGAGTTCATAATGCAGCAGCTCATCGGATACATTAAATCTGTGCAATTTTCTATTTTCATCCACATTTGGTAATCGGCATATTTTGTTTCATGATTCCAAGGCTTTTAATTTCAACATTTTCAACTTCTTTTGTTCATTCTTAAACAGTACTGCAAAGAAATGTTGGAACTTTGAGTCACAATAAAATAGAGAACTCTAGTGCTGTTACATTCCCCAATAAATAATTGTCTGAGTTTGAGATTTCCTAAATTAAGGATAACATTGTAATAATTATTTGATTTATTTCCATAACTTAATTTTAAATAAACATTATTCTTCTGAAAGCCTTGCGGAGCACTCCGCAAAAGTGTGTGACACACCAGTTAAAAAATGTATCATTTAAGACTTTTTCTTAAAGATTAGACGATACACATCTCATGGACAAACAACTCACCACATGCGGGACTGAGTAAAACTTGTGCTCAATCGTCACCAAACACACTCAAGTATAATTAATTACTCTAAGGCTACCAGCCATGTCAGGCGGTTGAATGCAGAAAACACAAACATTTCAAGAACCATCTTTGTCCTCTTCCTCGGGGTACCCTGGCATTTTCTCCACTGGCACGGCTGGTAGCCTGAGAAGAATTAATTATACTTAGCTGCCGTGAAAGCTTCAGATCTTATACGCAAGCGGCTCACCTGATCACAGATACACTTGTGACTTCTACTTCCAGTGGTCTTTGTGTTAACACATGTCCCATGGCCACAGAGTTCTTCAGATGTGGAGGTCAAACAGTCGTCTGTGTGCTGAGCACAGTGGACACCATATGTGCCACTAACACATATACACCTTGAAAAACAACAAAATAAAACCTTTTTATGTCACAAGAACAGGATGCAGTTTTAACTGATTACATATGATAACGTGTTTATGGCAATACTGAATATCGACTGGCTTAGATTTGATTGCATTCAGCAGTTTGACCTACTACAGTACACAGTAACGTATAATAATGGAGGGGACAGCTCGCACAGATAAATAAACTGAAATATGCTTCAGAGTTACAGACAATATACGAGGTGTGATCGGAAAGTTTCAAGACTGTGTCAATAGAGGGCGACCGGATGTAGTACGAGCTTCTGCCTTTAGGGGGTGCGGCCTACATTCATAGTGAATCAGTGTGCCAGCCGGCATCATCGAATTAGCATTTGTTTCTTAGTTACGGGCGTTTTGGTAGTGCATTACACCGACCCTCCTGCGATTTCGGAATGGCGTGTGCATCAAATTTTGCCAAAGACTCGCCAAAACGGCTACGGAAACCTATGAAATGCTACAGCAAGCATTTGGGGAGTCCGCAATGGGTCGTGCACAAACTTTTGTGTGGCATTAACGTTTTAAAAATGGCCGAATCTCTGTCGATGATGACGAGCGTTCTGGCCGACCATCTTCGAGCACAACGCCCGAAACTGTTACGAAGATCGACGTCGTACCATCAACGATTTGTGCGACATTGTTGGGATAGGCTATGGGACCTGTTAGCTGATTCTAAAGGAAGAACTCCACATGCGACGTATCGCAGCCAAGTTTGTGCCAAGGCTCCTGTCTGAGGACCAGAAGCAGAATCGACTTCTCGTTTGTCAGGAGGTCAAAGATCTTGCAAGAACCGACCCCAACTTCCTTTCTAAGCTCCGTGTGACTTCTTCCTCTTCCCAAAGATGAAAATTCAGCTAAAGGGAAGGAGATTTGAGACGATAGAAGAGATTCAGGCAGAATCGCAGATGGTGCTTGACAGGCTGACAAAGAAAGATTTCAAGGGATGCTTCCAGGCTTGGCAGCGGCGCTGGGATCGTTGTGTTCACTCCCAGGGGAACTACTTCGAGGGTGATGGATGAAATTAATACCTGAGGTAAGTGTACGGGTTTTTATACGCGCAGTCTTGAAACTTTCCGATCGCACCTCGTATAGTGCTGATAATCCTCAATTCTGTTTTCTTATATTCTTCAATTAAAGATAAGCAAACGCTGACCACTTACACCCAAGAAAAGAATGCTAGCCCATGTGGTAAATTGCATTTTATTGATGTGATGAAAATTTAAATTACCTATATATGGCATTAACAACAACACAAGATTTTTAACATTAGAAGTCTGTAGAATAACAAATAATCTGATGATTTCCACTCCAAAACTCTTTTGTTTCTCTTACGCATTATCCAAAATGTTAACGGAAACAATACTTACTCATATGTGCCTGGTTTATTGATGCAAGTTGCACCATTCTGACAGCCAAGATCGGTTCCCGCGAAATGTGCGCACTCGTTCACGTCCACATTGCATAGCAATCCCTGCATAGACCAGAAACACTGTTTATTCCGCATACACTGAACTCATTCACACATTCACTGAGTTGTTCACCTTTTACATAAATTTCAAAGCTAAAATCCATCTAGTTCAAACATAATGTAAGTGGTGCCTGAGTGAAATATAGTATTTCCTGAGATAATTTTATTTTTGTGTTACAGTATATGTAAAACTTACATAAAAATAAAAATACTTATTCAGAACATATTTTAAAAATAAGTTTATATGGAGAGAAAAAAGTATGTGTAAACTGAAGGTAGCTAATGGGTTATAAGAATGACGTATTCGTCCCTGCATTCAGTAGCAGATATCGACACAGAAATTAATGTTCAAAGTGTAAAAATATTTATAATTGAGAAGCTAAGGGCCCTTGACAAGTGATTTATGAAGGCCATATTGTTATTCTTCTAGAGTTCACTGACACTGTTTTCATGGATTACGAACCAATATAACAATCATGAAGCCATGTTACATGACACTACAACTAGGGATACAGTCGCCATGTCCGAAAGACACGAGTTTAAGGTCAAAGGAATAATAGCCTGTCATTTCCTGAGTTCAAAACAGTGATAAGCTTTTCCATAAATTACCTAATGTAATAACAGTGGTCTCTTAAATTATTATTGTTAAATTATGAGTTAAAATTGTTTGATAATGAAAATTATTTTCTATCGGTAGCTCATACTTTAATAATGAAACACACTCACATAGAATTTAATAATTTCCCGAAATATTCTGCAAACACTGATATAACTTGGTAAGAGTTACAGTTAATCTTAATGCTCATTACTTTATATCGCTTCAAAAATCCAGACTGAGAAATACGTATTACAGTTGTTTCGTCAGATGATCGATGACTTCTGGACGATTTCCTTTCTTCCCATGGGTTAAAGAAAATTTTAAAAAAAATATGACATATTCAGATAATAAAATTTTAGGGTTAGTTCTATGCATAAGGGCTTAAACTATTCTAAGATTCCTTACCTTAACAAATATATTAATCTAAAATTTCGATCAAATCAATGAAGTTAACACAATCCTGTATTACAACAGCTGGTAACATTGTCTTACCTCCCAGTTGCTTGGACACCTGCAGAAGAATCCATTGTAACTGTCAATGCATGTGCCACCGTTGTGGCACGGATTACTGGCACACTCGTTAGTAGTGAGCAGCGCGCGTAACTGGCGCACTTGACGCTCCAAGAGAACCACCTGTGAAACATTAGAAATCATCAGTGCCAATTTTTATTGACAGTAAATGAAGAAAAGCATGTAAGTCAGTGCAAAATTCTACTCACTCTCCTGTTCAGGGCTGCGACTCTTTTCCCAAGTGGTTCGTCCTGTAATAAAACAAGAGGAATTCAAAACTAGTTGCACACTAAATGCAATGAAGACAAACTGTGTCTATGGTATTGCCTGGGAGTATCAGGAGTACATAAAGAGGAAATATGTATTCCATAATAAACCTCTACAGAATAATGCAGCCTGCCATTCCAAGGCACTTTTAAAAACTAATGAGAAAGCCTTTACATAGATACTTCAGCCAATCATGAAGTAGCATCTGGCAATTATTCAGGATGTGTGCATAATGCAGGTAAACAGGGACTTCCATAGCAGAGTTAGAACCCTTTCAAATGCAAGACTTAAAAGCTTTCACGGCAAATAAATGGAATACAAGATATCCGTCTTCTGGGTTATTGCGCTGTGTAGTCTGGTCGATGTTAACCTGCCCCGAGCCAATGGGAGCAGGTATGGGAGTGGACCAATGGTAGCACGTGGGCGAGAGTGGGAGAGGGAGAGAAAGTAGAGAGAGAAAGGTGAGTTTGGTTGTATGGATAAGGGCCCTGAAAAGGGCCGAGTTAGTGGTCTGGTTGGTTCTGGCGGCGCACTCTTGCTCGCTCTCGGAGTCCTCGGAGTGTGTGAATAAGAGGCTTCCAGGACCGGCTCAGGTGAAGTCCATCTTCCCTGTTAAAGTTATCGACCAGACTACACAGCGCAATAACCCAGAAGACGGATATCTTCATACTCACCGCTGTGAGAACCTCAAGTCTTACAAATGGAATACAATCTTCTGAGGTAATCAGCTCCACAAACACTGACTTAAAAATCCTATGTTTAAAAGTCCTGCACTTTCTCCATCGTCGGAGTCAATGCAGAGAAAAGAATGATATTCAGTCCTAGCGATCGCCCTGATGACGGAGGCAGCAAGAACCTCTGAAACGTCGGTAAACTTCTACCAGACTACACGGTGCAACAACCCAGAAGACAGCAATCTTTGATCCTTTGTCTGTTGACTATTCTTTGTCTACAGCCCTGTGTCATCAAGCTTTAAAATCCTGATTACAGATTCCACGCTTGGTTTAGTTCGAAACATTTTTTCCCGATTTATGTTATTTAAGTGTAGCTGCTTCCATAATAAGTCAGTAAACACAAGATGATGTGACCAGTGTCTAGCTACCTGTCATGGAACTTAATTCGATGTTGTATTCTGCCACCACAAATTTGTTTGCCTGGTATGAATGTACATACCATGTGTTTTCCTTGCATCTGTTTATTCTACAGAATATACGAGGCGCGTCCTCAAAGTAAGTTTCCCACTCGTCCCACAGCTAGCAAACCTTATATTGCGCGAAGCGACTGTGCGTACATGATAGAGCAATGACGTAGCATGGCGCATGCACTAACGGCACCTCCCGCGTTCTCACAGTAGCATCGTTGCAGCTGTTGAAGATGGAGGTTCTTATTCCAGCTCCCGCCGACTGTGAAGTGCGGTCAGTGATAACGCTAGGCCGCACACGGCTCGACACAGTGGGTCCCATCCCAGGCGGCAGACTTCTACGACACAGGTATTCCAAAGTTGGTCCCACGGTATGACAAATGTCTCAATTCCGGTGGCGAATATGTTGAAAAATAGCTGGACACTTGCTGTATCTGTTGCAATAAATATTTCCATGAAATTGTGTTTTGTTTCTGTAAACGGCCCCAAGGAAACTTACTTTGAGGACGCGCCTCGTATTGTAGACTCCTCAAACTCTGAGTCCTAAGCCATTCTTCAGTTGTCTCAACATCCGTTAGGTCTTCCTAGTCAGGATGTGGATACTTTGACGGATGCTTGTGAATCGCAACTACAGAAACTGAACCTCAAGCAACAGATGTCTTAAATATCGAGTGACTGATGTTGATAAAGAAAACTGAGTGATGTGTCAAACGGTTTGCAGTATAAATTAGTAATTGTAGCATATTTTTATAAATTTCCCTAAAGTTTCAATAAAATGTCCTCATTTATCTATAACCTCTCAACCTACATGATGAAAAGCAACTGTTAATTTGGCCCTCAGTCTGGAAGAGGTACAGAGCCCCTTACGACTGAGGGTTTCAGGTGTCGGGAGGAATGCGTAAAAGTATAAGTAGAACAGACAGGTAAATTCAGAGACATGATGCAAGAAGAAAACACATGGCATTTGCAAATGTACCAGCCATAAAAGTTCACAGTGGCAGAACACAGCAGTGAATTAAGCCATCAAATTAAGTTCCATGCCAGGTACCTAGATAATGGCAAGAATATCAGGTTCTGTGCGCTGAATTACTGAGAAAGTGACAGAAATAAGGCTGCACACAAACATAAATAGAGAAGATGGTTTAAAACTGAGGCAAGCAAGGAATCTGTCCACCAGGATTTTAAAGCCCAATCAACATAGACATGAAGACAGACAGGATCATTTTCCAGGTTAAGCAACTGCTCAAACTGACACTTCCCTTCACTCACTTTGATGCCAACATGCAAGAGGCAATGCGAGGCCTGTCTCAGATATTAATCAGTAACTTAATGTCTTTTTTCCTCACACATTATGACGGAGAAAGAGGTTTTAAAAATGTTGGTTTTTAATTAAACTTTGATGTGACTGACAACCCAACAGAATCTTGGTGCACTATTTCAAATGTTGCATGATACGGTTTGATACAAAAGACAATAATGATGATGATAAGGGTTATAAGAACGAGTCTTGAGGATGGAAGAAGTATCAACTCACGGTGCCAGCCAAAGAGCCATTTCTGACAGCTTTCTCCACTGACGCCAACTTTGTCTGCAAGCCCTGTGTTCCAAGAACTGCATCCAACAAGATCTGTACATTCTGCTCCAATGTTACCAACACACTTGTGCGGATGTGTTCGACTGTCTCCGAAGCAGATTTTGCCTGCAAATAATGATAGAAATAATAATTGATAAAACTGAGTAATATAAATGCATGTTCATTTAGAGGGGTAGATACCATATTCTGAATTCTGTAATTGAAATATGATATCTTACAAACATTTTTCAAACCAATGCATCTGAAGGGAATGTGAACTCTTGAACTCTGTGCCTACGATGGCTTTGCTTTATGTGTCAGCACACCAAATCGTGCTTATATTAATCATGTACCATCAATTAAATCAAACTGAGAACATCTATAGGGAAGATCTATGCCAGGAAAGATAAGAGTGAAACAAAAATTTTTAAAAATTTTCATCAAATTCCAATGCATAAAACATGTTACGCTGTTACTTCCACCACATGAATATAGTACAATCTGAATCACTCTTACGCTAAAATTTGAATTTTCCTATTTCATTCTCATAGCATGCTGATGAATGTAAACACATGTCTCTTCAGCTCACCATTTCTCTTGTACGGATTTTTTTAAGAACCACGAAGCTAATGGTTAATGTAAAAAGATCTTTATTTCATCTATGGCATATGCCTGTGAAAACAAAGATCTTTTCCTGTTTGTATAGGTAAACTTTCTTCATTCATGCTTATTACTTATACACAAGTAAATAAATATAATGCATTAAATAGACATATAAACACTCTGAGAGCAAGAACAAAACCTTACCTACACAGCTACATCATTGCATTCTGAACAACAGCAGTAGCACATGTGCAAGAACAGGGTTAAGTGAGATGGTTCATAAGCGAGTATGCCTTACTGTTGACAGTGGCACATTGCAGACTAGAAAGACAGCATGGCTTACTGAGTTTGGCATCAAAGGGTTAAAAGAGTAATACCACCCTAGTGTTGGATGCATAGAATATATATGTGTAATCTGACTCTGCTACTTCACCATTTGCATTTAAAACACTAGTGCATGGCACCATCAGCCAAATTTATTCCAGGTAATTATATTTTAAATTCAATTTTATTACATTTTACTATGTTAGAAGAGACAGGGACCTTCTAATTTTACTATGTTCTACAGCATAAGGTTTAAAGAATCCCATGATCCTGGAATGTCATATACCTCAGATTTTTAACATTAACATATTTAATTTTATTATGAAATCTTATTTATTTTAACTTTTCCATTCAGTTTAACAGTGTAGACAATACAATATACAAATTCCTCAATATTACTTATTTCATAATGTTAAATCACTCAACAGAAAAACTATAATAATTATTCTGAAAGTCAGAAGGAAATATGACCAGCCTTTGGTAAATAATTTGTTATATACTGCATTTCTTTCCGTGCATGGTACACGGCACCAACACTAGACAAAAACTTACCACAGTTCACAGGTAAATTATTAACGTTTATAATTTTATGACACAAATAACACAAAGATTTACAACTTTCCCCCAAAATATTGCTACAAAAACATTGTGGAAAAGTGTTAAAAGTTATTGAAAATCATTTTACCAAAAAAAATTCAAGTGTGATCCATCCTTAATACAATATAAGAATGAGTGCAACTGAAGTATACATTCTTCAAGAAAACATAAATTGATGAAAGACTCTCAGGTTACAAGCCTCGCCAGGTAGCTGAATGGTGAACAAACCATATCCTCTGCCGTTTCGAGAGCAATCTCAGCTCTCAACCTCGGGACAGCTGCATAACAAAACTGGTCCCCTGTAGAGCGCTCGTCGATGGGAAATGAGGATGAGAGCCATCTCTGCTCTCGAAACGTTGGCAGAGGATATGGTTTGTTCACCATCCAACCACCTGACATGGCTTGTAGCCTGAGAGTCTTTCATCATCTTTTCCCATTTTTCTCTCATACTTATGTGCAGTGGAGTAAAATGTCAAAAAGAAATGTTACAAAATCTGAACTTTTACAGGACATTCTATTTTTGGGGGGTTGATAACAAGAGCCAGGTTAGTTCAATGTGTCCAGACTGGCTCTGGGGTCCACCTTGCCTCCTATCTAATTGGTACCAGGGCCCTTCCCTTGAGGAAAAGCACTGCTGGGGCGTGATGCTGACCACTCACCCCCAACCTAGTGCTGAGGTTAAGAATGAGTAGGAGCTGTACCACCTCTCCCCACAAGCACCTACATGGCATACAGCGGGACAGCTTCTTACTTTTACTGATGGTCTGCAGTGGTCTAATAGTCGATCAGTTCGTCAAGAAATGCCGTGCCTTCTATGATTCCGAACGTTAGTTTCCTTACTCAGAAGAGCCTGCATTTAAAATTCGTATAGTGTTTAACCAACACATGGTCAGTAACACTCAAACACACAGGGAAACAATTTACACGTATTTGATAACAGGGTCAATTTATGTGGAGGTTAACCCAAAGATCAAGGATGAGTTACTTTCTCATTCCATCAGTAACACGTGTCAACAAGGTTATGGAAACATGAATGAAAACTAACTTTTTAAATTAATTCTGTTATACTGAATCATTGAATTGTCTCTCTACAAAAGCTATATACTACTGCAACAACCATTACATAACCTTTACAAATCCCATGTGTAATTCTGATGGTAATTTGCTCTACCAAAAATACAATAAATGTGTTATGTGGGAGTATGGTAGGAGTAAATGCGCATTAATTATGAATATGGTAGAACAAACGAAACAAAAACAGAGTTAAGGCAACACTGAGGGTGTCTGAAAATGGGTATTTAGGAGAATAATTGTTCGGAAGTGGTAGAAGGGAAGACAAAATTGCACCAGTGACAGGACCAAAAGAAATTGTGGGACTTTGTTAGCAACATGGCATGTAACAAATATGAATGAAACTCAGAACAGGTAAAGGCCTCTCACGGTGTAACTAATGTGAATAAAGCTGAGGCAGAATGATTCACCTGTGAGGTACTCAACAACGGGGCCATGTCATTCAAAAAGATAAAGAAAATTATCCAACAAAACTGAGATGTTATTAACAGGTGCACCAAGCAAAGGATGTGAACACCGTGACGCATTACCACTATATATAAAAAAAGAGGGAGAGGTCAAACTCCTCATAAATGGTGTTCATTCCCCTTAATATTCTGCCCAGAATCCAAAAAAGAGGGAAAAAAGAAAGCAGAGGGAAGGATGGCAAAACAAAGAAAGGAATGAAGCCTTGGTATGGTTGGTAAGAGAAGTGAGCCAGGAAGTAGCTCACTTAGGGTACACCGATTCACAGAAACCATGAAGTGCCAAACGCGACCAGGAGGCAAGAGAATGGTGTCGTGCTCACCGTCTTGGCAAGCAATGCGAGATTCTCACTGTCGAGGTTGACATAGCCACGACCTGACGTACGCAGCGTGATATTGCGGTCTAAAGCGCTGAACAGCAGTAAATGGCCATCTTGTGTCAAAATTCGCGGCCTGCAACACAGTTATCATCTTCTCAGTGATAGGATATGAAAAAGCTGCACCTGGTTACAAATCAGTTTTAATAAAGCATAACCTGCAAAAAAAAATGTCAGACATACAGCGTATACTTAGTGACTGTGAAAACATTCCTAAAAACCCACATCTTTGAAACCCGAACAGATAATTAACAAAACTGGAGATGTAATGCGATTGTCAAATTATAGCTTCATCTTCTTCTGCTTCCTGCCTGGTTACCAGTAAATTTTTGCCCTAAATCACAATATCGTCATTCCAGTTTAAAAATTTTGTAAATATCAGTTTCACTCAATAAACCAAATTCCGTACAAATTTGTTTGAACAGCTTAGTTCCTTCATAAATATCATGTGAATTATGAAAGTGTTCTGCAAATTAGTTTTCAAAGTACACTAATTTCTTGGTAACAGTGTGTTGATAGAAATACATGTTATGTAATATTTCCCCAGGTTTAGACTGCCATAACTATTAAAACCATTAGTTACATGCATGGCTTTTACCCTAAAATTGTAGATCTATAAGAATATTTGTAATACATTTTTCCTTTGTTTTTCTCTGGAGTCAAATTCAATTGTATATTTTACATCAAAACTCAACACAGAATTTCATACGCTAGCCACTAATTGAGATTTATGATGTAACATATTTCAGAACCATTAACAAATGCAAGTATGGAACGCTGTACATATTACCACCTACTGGATGACTCTCAAAGAGTATTAATATTGAAGTTGCAGCTTCAAGCGGTCCTCAGATAATTTAACCTGTTGAAGCGGAATTTTAAATACCCAGCATATACCGCTGTTGTGCTGTTCCGGCGGTAGTAATTTTTAAATGCCCGTTTAAATTTTGCTGTAAAATACGTTTTTTTCCATAACTTTTGAACTATATGAGATATAATTATGAATTTTTCACTGAAATCCTCTTAAAAGATGGTTTTGTAATCTTACCTTATAAGATGAGCTCTCTGTGTGTGACCAATGGGAGCAAATTGATCAGAAGTTGAGAACGGAGTGTACAGCAGCCGGTTGTTTGCATAATAAGATCTGATTGTAGGCTTTTGAACAATGCCCATCAACATAAATAGAGCCAAAACCACGTAAATTTCGTCTACTGTGACATCTTGCCACT